CAGCAGGAAGAAAAGTTACAAATGATGTGGTTAGACACCAACCAGTTACTTCAAGATCCTCAACCACCAAAAGGTCTAGAAACCGTGCAAGAGGTTGCACTCCCAACATGAGCCATGAACTAATAGTAGCCTCTTCCCTTCTTCGAAGATTCTCCTTTAATGATCTTAAATTGGCAACAAGAAATTTCAAAGCTGAGAATTTCCTTGGTGAGGGAGGGTTTGGAACTGTGCTGAAAGGTTGGATCAGTCAGCATGGGAACTATGCAGCAAGGCCTGGAACGGGGATTCCAGTTGCAGTGAAGAGTCTCAACCTAAATGGACTTCAGGGTCATAAGGAATGGCTTGTATGTTACCATGCTAATCCTGACTTTGTTTCTTTATCTCTTAGGAATATATTTAATTTATATAAATTTTTATTAAATAAATTAAATTCACATCCCTATTATTTCTTAAAATTGCACGCGATATCATGTCTAATTTCTAACCCATTTTGATTTCTTAAAAACATTTCACTGACACCCTGATAACAAATTTACAACATGTACCCTTTAAGGGGATATATGTAAATGTTAACATGGAAAGACTTGTTTGTGCAATATCAAAATATAAAGAGAAAGTGCTCGTATAATTTGCTCATTTTTATTTTGGTACAAAGTGCTATGATTTATATGACTTATTATATATATCTTGTTAGATTAAAAATAAAACTATATTTCTTCATTGTTTCATGCATGTGGCAGACTGAAATTAGTTATCTGAGTGAACTCCATCATCCAAATCTTGTTAAATTGGTTGGCTTTTGCATTGAGGATGACAAAAGGCTATTGGTGTATGAGTACATGTGTCGAGGAAGCTTAGAGAAGCATCTGTTCAGGAGTATGTCTTAATTTCAACTTTTTGTATCATAGAAAATTGTGCTCTAATCTATCAATCAATGCATTATTGTTTAAGTTAGAGTATAATTTCAATTGATATAGCTTAACAACTGAGTTAATGATTGTGTGCTAGAAATATATCAGAAAATTAACGAGTAATAATGTCAGGGTCTTTGCGCCTTACATGGCCTATGAGGCTGAAAATTATGATTGGTGCTGCGAAGGGCCTTGCATTTTTGCACGAGGAAGCTTCAAAGTCAGTGATATTTCGAGACTTCAAAACATCTAATATCCTATTGGATATGGTAATATATATTACTTACTATTATGCTAATTAATTTTCAACATATACACCTTTACCTCCATCTTATTATATAGCATTCTATTTCAGAACTACGATCCAAAACTTTCCGATTTTGGGCTTGCTAGAGATGGTCCAGTGGGAGATGCAACTCATGTGTCAACTCAAGTAATGGGAACACAAGGCTATGCTGCTCCTGAGTATGTGATGACAGGTCAGTATACTCTCAAACATTTCCTTTTTTTATCATAAATAATCAATTTCCCTACTAAATAGCAAAATAGATGACACCAATGATTTCATTAAATGGAAATTCATACATCAATTGCTTTAGAAACTAAATGTGCCAAAAGCCATAGACTTATCAAGGTACCATATATTTTTATCATTTTCAATATGTACTTTTTTTATCACATTATTTCACTTATGATACAAAACCTGTTTTAAATATAAGTTTAGAAGAGCTAATTTATTAAAAATAAAAAAAATTTGACAGTAAAAAACTCTTAAAAATACTTTTAATTTGTATGCAAACAGATTCATATTACATTAGACATGGAAACAATAATGTATATATGCATGATTTAAGCTACAATGCTGCACATGGTGCAAGTTTCTTAACATGGTGCATCATGTTGTCACAGGACACCTCACTTCCAAGAGTGATGTCTACAGCTTTGGGGTGGTCCTACTTGAAATACTGACAGGTAGAAGAGCCATGGACAAATCATTGCCTAGGAGAGAGCAAAACTTGGTGGAATGGATGCGCCCTCTTCTCAAGAACAAAGAAAACTTCCACTATCTGATGGACCCTAGACTTGGAGGTCAATACTCAAGGAGAGGTGCAAATAGGGCAATGAGGTTGGCTAGTCACTGTGTTCGCCCTGACCCAAAAGCAAGACCCCTTATGAGTGAAGTAGTTCGTGTGTTGAAGTCTTTGCCTGGTCAGAATGAGAAAAACATGGAGGACCCCTCAACAAGGTCCGCATCAACTTCAACTCGCTCAGTTTCAATTCAATCAAGTTCACTTCACATAATACATGAAGGACCCTCCAACCATAATGGTGGTGCTAACAAGTATGGTCTCAGAACTGATCCAGAACCAAACGTTCCATGGCGCTTTCAAGCCTCTCCACTGAGCCTAGAGTATCCTCTACCTCCTCCAAACACTGCTGTTGGACTTTCATTGACCAACTGACCCTAGTGTTGGACAACCATTAGATGTGAGATGAGATGCATGTGTACGTGTGTGTTTGGTTCAGTCTACTTTGAGGAAATAATCGTTTATTTTTTATCTGCTTCTTGGAAAAGCTATGAGAAATAAACAATTATTTCCTTTTAAAAGAAACTTTTCCAAACGTGCACTAAATATCTTTTTCAGCTTCTTTTGCATTTCCTAATAATAACTTGGACTTTATGTTGTTATTTATAGAAACATTTGCATACACAGGAAATGGAAGAGGGGGAAGTAGGACTGTGTTTTAAGGCTGGTTTTCAAAGCCAAAACTTAATTATCTTCCCTCCTTTTCCGTAGCTTTTATGTATGTTGCATTTTCCATAAATAAGTGTCATTCATAGACACCTGTAAATCTAGTTGCTTTAAATGTTGAATGTTAAACCGTTGAACTTCTAAGCTTTCTTGTTATAAATTTTTAATTTCCTATCATGTGGTGTCCTAAATTTCATTTCTTATTGTCCAGTTTCTTATGCACATAACCATTATTTTTTCTGAAATTCAGTGGAATCACCAAGTCCATTTTTTTTTACTTTGTTAACAAAGATAAAGTGGGATAGCTATTCTAAGTACAAAGTAAAGGAGCAAGGATAAATTCTCATGAACATTGGTCTCACCCTTTTTTTTTCTCCATTATAACATTTATCATAATTTTTGTTAGGAATATATCTTTGTATCCAAAAAAAAAAAAAAGAAGTTAAGTCTTGTTTGTTTACTGTGATTGAAAACACTTTTCTGTGTATAAAATTTGTTTCTCTCTCTCCCTGAATATATATACATGTAAGTATTTGTCTCCTAAGTATATTTTTATTTTCTATAAATTTGTCCTATGAGTTGAACGAACTTAAAGAAAGATGAAAAAAAATCTCAGTTGTTTTTAAAACATTTGGTTTGAAAATAATTTTCAAAACTTAATAGATTTTAGATGAGAAATTAATTGTTGAGTAATGTGATTGTTTTAGAAAACAATAAATAAAAAATTAAGAAGAGAAACAAAGAAGTCCTTAACGTGTTAAAGCCTACTTATGATTGAGATTTGATAATAAATAGGTTTTACCTCTAAAGATGTAGAGTTCTGAAGATCTCTTTCACATATGATAAAAGGGTTAACATTTTAATTACATCTTTACCATGTTATAATACAAGAGAAACATATTGTTAACTTCTTTATGAATATTTCAGTAAAAAATAATAATAATAAAAATAAATAAATAAATAAAAAACTTCCTTATGAATAATACAAGCCGTTTGAATTTTCTCTTTTTATTATCATTACTAAGTTGAATTCATTGCAATAGTTTCAAAATTAAGAACTAATGAACAAAAGGCAAAATCAATGTTAAAACTGGTAAACTTAAACTAGCTGCTGCTTAATACCAGATATTCCAAATTTTGTTACTTTTGCTCGTCAATCACAATTTCCGGAACCACTTTGGCTATTTTCATTTTTCACACTACGTCACCAACAACAGAAGGTCCACGATCTAATGTAAAATGTTTTTTTCTAAAAAACTATTTTGTATTTTTCATTTGTTTATCATACAGTGTGATTGCTTCTATATATATTGTTCTATTTTATTACTCTCACAGTCCCAAAATGTCCAGAATACTAGCATTTTAAACAAATTTAAAATAACTGATGTTCTCAGTTATGTAATATTAATTTTAATTTTTTTTACATAAATTACATCAATCATAATAAATTTTGTGTAACGCAATTATTAAGAGAGATATTCTAGTAAAATTATTTCAAAAGAATGTAGATTTATTTTTGTTCTTAATATATATATATATATATATATATATATATATATAAAAGAATTATGCTAAAATAAATTTTTAGTCTCATATTATTTTTTTTTTGGTTTCAGTTTGGTATCCTAATTAAAAATATTTTACTTTGGTTCTTTAAAATATCTGTTAGATCAAGTTAAATATTCAATCATTTATCTCACTAATTTAGTCAATTTAATTTAATGACATGGTTATGAAGATGTTACATTAATCAAAATTAAAAAAGTTGACCGAATAACCAATTTGACAAATAAAAATATTTTAAAATATTAAAGTAAAAAAAGTTAAACTTAAAGGGTCAAATTAAAATTTAAATAAAAATAAGAGACATAAATTTTAAATTGCAATCATTTAGAAGGGAAGGAGAAAATAATTAATAACAATAAATTCAGAGTTAATGTGTGTACTTTTATTAAATAATAATAAATTTCAAAAATATTAAAAGTATATTAATTAAATTGTACTTTTAATCTCTCTATAATATTACCTTTGTTTCTTTATAATAGTCATTTAAAGTTGTTTTACATAAATTAGGAAACATAATAAATTTTCCAATTTTTCATAGAGTAATTTTAATATTTTCTATTATACCCTCATTCATTTTTGCTTTATAATAAACGCATACTAGTTATAATATGTAAATTAATTAAAAGTGGTGACATATAAAGGTATAATTGATAACATAACAATTAATATTATGTTGAAATTTGAAAATGATAAATAAACAGAAACAAAATTTTACTAAAAATTCAAGATAAAAAGGAATGGAGAGAGTAACAAATTAGCAATTTTGGTACTTTTGTTTTTAAATTTGCAAATTTAGTCCTTCAATTTTATAAAATTTGTAATTTTGGTTCCCTTGTTAAATATTTATTTGCTGATAGTTAAAATTGTAAAACCTAACATTATGTAAATACACAATAATTAATATTTAATAATATTTAGATTAAATTACACTTTTGATTCTTATTTTCATCTCATTTTATCATTTTTATAATATAAAAATAGGAACTAAAAATAAAAATTAACAAAAATATTATTAAATATTAATTATTATATTATCTATTTCATGTTAAATCATAATTAACGTTACAATTTTAAGTATTAACATATGAATATTAAACAAAGGAGTAAAAATTATGAATTTTATAAAATTAAAAAACTAAAATTATAAATTTAAAAATAAAATGATCAAAAATACAATTTATTCAAATTTATTTTCGGAGTCCATTTATTAAAAGTTTTGAACGAAAATTCTCTAAAATAAAAGGGTAAAGTAATAAGATAATTGATCTATATTGAACTATAGAACTTATATCTTATCCATTTTTTATTATATCCATTCTTATTATTTTTTATTTTATTTAAATCAAACATAAATTTAATTAAAAAAAAGAGAGTTCAAGTTTTCTGCGAATTTTTTCGTAGTAATATTTTTTACGAAACAAATTAAAGAAATTACTACAAATTCTTCAACTTTCAAATGCTCACAATGAATTCATTCGAAGCATTTGTTTCCACGCCTCCAACATGTGATACATAACCTTTTAAATTCTAAGATTATAGATTATAAACCTAACACTCAACCATACAAATCAACTTGTAAGGTAAGTGTTGCCCCAACTTATATACTCTTTAATTGTTTTATTTTTAATTGATGTGGGACTTGAAGTTTTTTTTAAAATATTAAACTTATAAATTTAAATATTTTTTTTATTTTTCTTGCAGATTAAAATTGGCAAAAAATCCGCAGGAAAAGTTACCTACAAAATTTTTCTACCATTTAGTAAACATTACTTGCAAATTTATTTTTGCAAGAAAATCTGCAAGAAACAAAATACTAAAATTAGCTTTATGAAAACTTAAGATTTTGAACATAGAAGTTTCCATCCTCTAGTAATCGATTACATGCCCTGGTAATCGATTACCAGACTAGAGGTGCTCATCCTTGAAAGCTTCGGAAAGGGGATTCTGCTTCTTGGCTATCCTGATCCAATCTTCAGGTAAGGGAAGTTAGGATTTCTTGCCGGTTGTGTGTTGTAGTGAGCTAGGACTCACGAATTGCTGAGATTTTCAAAGATTTTGAGCTGTTTTGGATGAAAACTCATTTTTCGGGGTTTTCGGGTTTTTGGTGAAATTTGGGATTTTCATTGTTTATGGTTGCATGTGGGTAAAGCTGGGATTTTTTGGTTGTTTGATGAAAATGTGATGTTTTGGG